TTTATTACACCAATCACACAATACATTTTCACATATTGTAGAGGTATCCCACAATATTTCCCCTTTTTTGTCTGAATAAAAAGAAAACATTTTAACTCTAACATAGCAAAATATATACATAATATATAAAATATATTTTATAAAATAATATATAAAATATATAATCCTATATAAAATAAGAACAATTATCAAGTAAGGATTATGTTCACAATGTCCAGTCCATTTGTATTTGGCAATTTGAGAGGAACTACTCTATTATCTATCCTATCTTGGTGAGTCCAAAGTTTTGTACCTAATATACTTTCTATTCTAACTTATATTACCAACCCCAAAACATCTTTTTAGACTTTAAAAGATTTCTTAGATAAACAATTTAAGCTTTTATTTCTCTCAATCTTATACATTGTTCACCTCTTTTGTGAGTTTCTTTTCTGAATTTGGTAACAAGGAAAACTGTAAATATAACTATCTCATCTTTGACTCCATCAGAGGCCTGAGAAGGATATATATTACCTGAGTAAACAGAAAGTACAGAGCAAGCAACTTCCAAAACTATAGAAATGACAAAGATCTGGCAGCCTGGACAGTCACCCAGGGTCCCTCTGCAATAAAGGGGCATCCATATATCCTCTGTCTTGCAGTTTTTCTAGGTTTATTTCTTTTTATCTATAGCCAAGATTTTCAGATCTCCCCCTATCCAATCTGGTGTATATTAATTTTGAAAGAATCCACAGCTTTTCATTTCCTGTGGAAACAAAAGCATAACCTCTCCTCCAACTCAATATATTTTATGAATTCCATTTTAGAGTTAAGACATTCCTAAAGTATCTAGGCTGGTTTAATTCAGCAATTCTGTATCCCACATCTCTCAGCAGCTGTTGTTTGCTTATCAGCATTAAAAAAATTCAAAGTCAACAAAGCACCATACAGGATCCAGATGCCCTGTGTATGTCTCATCTTTATGTAGCTTTCTCTTTTTATATTACTTCACTCTTTCTTTAAAGACTTTACTTAACTATTTTTAAACTATTTATTTTTTCCTGTGACTGTCTATACCCATTTTCTTTTCTTTCTTAAGCACCTAGGCATACTGTAGCCTGCTTAAAGGATTTTTGTTTTTTGGGAGGGTCTGGACCTATTTTACTGTGCACCTGTAGTATTCTCTGACTGCATGAGCCAAACTTTAAACTGCTGAGTGGCAGCTAGCCCCACCTCCTTCCCACATCAACATGAAGCTCTGGCCTTTGACTCTGCCCACTACTTGGGTCTGTGACAGTGAGCCTTAAGTCCACAGCCCTGGCCAAGAGCTGTGTTTACTGGGAGCTGCATTTAATCAAGAGCTGTACCAACTTCCCAGCTCTATGAAGTTGGTGCCCACACTGTGGCCCAAACTTTTACATAGCTTGTTTTTTCTGCTTAGTGTGCTGCTGCTCAGGTGGTCTGCTGCCCAGCAGTGCCTCCTAAAGGAGCCACATCCAGAGTTTTTCTCTTTTCTCTCCCCTAATCCCCTTGAGCTTTCTTAGGCTCTGTGTGGAAATTCAGGCCCCAAGTTAGGTATCATTTGTATATTTAGCCTCATGGCTTTTTACCTTTCTTACATTATGTATGTCCAGCTCCCTCCATGTCTCCTTGGCATCTCCCTGAGCCTCAATTATCTCTTCTTCTCTCTGTACCCAGAAGTCCTCTCTGTACCTAACCTAGCCATTCAGTTTTGAATTACACAAATCACAGCAGCACAGTTTCATACAATGTAAAGATATCCCACAACAGAGTAATATAGTTATTCTAACTATATCCCTCATGTACTTAACACACATGCATGAGACTGTGTGATGATACACATGATCAGACCAGTGTTTTATTTTTCACCAGTAGTCAAAGGCTTATTGAAGGCATGTTTTTGGGAAGGAGGAATGCACTGGGCAAGTAAATCAAGCACTAGTCACTCCTTGAACTCTTCATCCTGGGGAACTATGTCTACTATTTTATGGGAGGAGGGAAATAAATAAAAATCCTTTTGACCATTCTTCATGCATCTTGTCTTCTAGTAATCTTGTATTAATTAATTATATTTCTCTCTCTCAAATACTTAAAAGCCTCCGAATTTATCAGCCAGGAGGTACCATTTCAGACATACTGTGCTGGATTAATGCATTTGCTTTTACCTAAAGTTGGTAGTATTCTTTTACCCTTCAAAAACTCTACAGAAACAAATGATTTGAGAAAGCTCAGTGGCATTTCAAATGTCCCGTTTCTAGGACTCTATGATCCTCTATGCTTTTGCAGACCCAACAGCATGGCATCTCTTGCCATGTCAGGGCATCTTTGTGACCACATAGATTTGTGAATTCTTTTAGAAATAAAAGAAAAATTATGATTAAATTATAGGACTTTAGAGATTTTTAAAGTGCAATTTCTATCCTCCTCCACAAATATAGATATAAATCCACACAAACATTAATGAAAAAATCAATCCTATGTTATGAAGGGCAGAACTCACTCTTTAGTCAGGACTTTGGTATAATTTTCATGAAAATTATTCTGATGAGGATAAAAGCTTATATTATAAAAGAACATTGAGACAGGTGTCATGGCACCTTCGTGTAACCTTGGCACTCAGGAAGTAGAGGCAGGAAGGTCAGGAGTTGAAGGCTCAGTTACATGGCAGTTTGAAGCTAATGTGTGCTATATGATATCTTAAATCATAAATAAATAAATAAATAAATAAATAAATAAATAAATAAATAAATAAATAAATAAATGCAAGACTTGTAGAAATACTTTTTGTATCTACTAACAGTTGACAAACAAAACTAGAAAAACAATACATTTCCTTGCTATTTTCTTTTCTTTTGATACTACCAATATTTTTAGATTGTAATCTCCAGTTGGCTGAGAAACACTCAAGGACATTGCCACTTTTTTTTGTGACAGGGGTCATGAGGAAATTTTTTGTGAGTGTGAGTTTGAAAATACACTCGTCTTGTGGTATCATTCATTCACTTCTGTAGTAAACCAAAGAGAAGGCAGCAAAACCGGCACATCTTGTTTCATTTTTGCTAACTGTTGATCATTTTCATACTTCTAAGTGACATCTGTTCCAAATGCTGTAGGCCATCTGCTAAGATCCTGTTCGGTTTCTTTAGTGATCAACACATACCACGTTCCTCTTCTCATGACGTCAAATAACACAGAATACCCAAAACAAATGCTGCTCTACCTGCATCTACCACAATGGTGGACTTACTCATGATGTCTGCTGACAACACACACTTCAGTGACTCATGAGTATAAAGTATTTTGTCTGTATTTTTTTTTTTTTTTTGGTTTTTCGAGTCAAGGTTTCTCTGTGTAGCTTTGCGCCTTTCCTGGAACTCACTTGGTAGACCAGGCTGGCCTCGAACTCACAGAGATCCACCTGCCTCTGCCTCCCGAGTGCTGGGATTAAAGGCGTGCGCCACCACCGCCCGGCCTTGTATTTTGTTTTTGAGGAGCATTATTTTGGATTTACAAATTTCAAAAGATAGTTTTGCTTTGTTTTTTTTTTTTTTCATTATCTTAAAGATATTGGTCCATTGTTTTAAGATTTACATTCCTGATAGGAAGTTATATTACCTCTTGTCTTTCCATTTTGTCTGGCCATATGTCCATAGTTTACTTGGTCTCTGGTTTTTCAATAATTTCATTTTAAGAACACGATGATGTGATTCTGTCTGTCCTATTAGAATTTCTTTGAAGTCCTTAACATTTCCATATAATTCTAACGATTTGGTCAGCAATTTTTTTAAACTGCTTTTCCAGTCATCTGTCCAATACTGACATCTTTACTAGGCTGTCTGGTGTTCACTCCACAATCACTTGGGATTTATAGATGTGTTTCTAAGCATCATACACTCTATTATGAACTTCTTCCCATGTATTTTTTCACTTTAAAATTGTATTTTTGATCCCCAAAAGCAGTGCCTGTCTTTTTATCTATTTTATTTCTTTGCTTATTATGGTTATATTTCCTTTAATTCTTGATCATATTAATTATAATGAAACCACTAACATTCATCAATTCATTCCTCTTGGTTCTGAGCCCACTGAGCCAATTTCTTTCTTTCTGTTTGTCTGTCTTTTCCTTCTTCCTTCCTTCCTTTCTTTCTTTCTTTTTTCCTTCCTTTCTTTCTTTCTTTCTTTCTTTTTTCCTTCCTTCCTTCCTTCCTTCCTTCCTTCCTTCTTTCCTTCCTTTCTTCCTTTCTTTCTTCCCTTCCTTCTTTCTCCTTTCTTTTTTCTTTTTTCTCCTTCTGGCTCTGGGTACCATCACACTCCTTAACTGTATTTTCAATTTTCATTTCACTTGACGCTGACTTCTACATGTAACATATCTGAGAATATGGATTTTATTGCTTTCTTTATAGTTTACAAAATTTTATCTTAGTGATAATAATGTTATTTGCACATTAATTTAATATTTCCAAGGTTTGTTTGGAAAAACCTCTAGGGAAGAAAATGAAAACAAATACCTCATAGGTTATTCTAGCCATATTCTGAATTTCTACCCTTCCAGGATTTTTTATGAATTCCATGGTGTTCATTTTTTTTCTAGTCTATGGAAAAACTTAAATGTGTCCCAGTCTCAAGAACAATTTAGGAATGATTAGGATTTCTATTTCTCTATCACTCTTTGCCAGGATGCACAGAATTCTCCCTTATGATAGAGAACTTTTCAGTTGCAAAAGACCCTGGGCCTTCTGTGCAGATTCTGTATAGGGCCTGTTTTGCAATGATCAAGTTAAATATTTCCTGAAGACTCATTTTTCTGTAATCACAGCTTCTTTCTTACACTTAGTAAGTCCCTAGTGTTCTTTATGCCATCATCTCCACATAGAAACCTGATACATCTCTAAAACTGCCTCTGCTTCTCTCTTAAGGACCCTAAGCCTGTATGATCCTTGTTGGCTTGCAATCTCTGAAACCTACGCATCCTTCAGTTGTCCATGGTAGGAGGACATGGCATGAACATCTCCCGTGCTTTCATTTTCCCATGCTTTATCCATCTGTGATTGCCCATAGCTTTGATTATGACTTGACTTTCAATTAGCAATAATCGCGCCTTGGATAAACCTCATTGGCTACGATACTGCCACTGCGCAAAGCTATGACTTGACTTTCAAAGGCATGCTCTATGTTGCTTACAGAATTTTCATTGTATAACGGGAGAGATCATGTTTTATCATCATGTATATTTTAAAAATGTTTCCTCTCTTATGCATATATCAAAAGATTTTTTAGGCAACAAACATGATATATATTTTACTTTGAAATGGACCACAGTAAACTCGTTGGAGAATATTAACTAGCAATGGCACGGCTAACAAAAGTGAACATGAGGAGAAACTACAGCTCTATAAGTGATAAAACTATTTCACTCCCTCCACTGTAAGTTCTGTCCTTTCTGCTTAGGACTGGGGACATGAAGCACTGATTTACCTATGAAAAAAATATACATTATAACCACAATGAAACTATACACAAGAATGCTAAATTTCCAAAGGATTCAGGGTGGGTCCAAATAAGCAAAAGTTCATTGATCTAATTATGTTCTCAGAAGAAGAGCCTGTTCCTGACCTGAAATGAGGAACTGCATGTTTTGTTTGTCTTAATCTTTTGATAGTGAAGAGAGGGTTAGGTCGGAAATGTTATGGAAACATAACAAAAGCCAGTGGTCACCCATGGGAAATGAAATGTTTTCTACTCACATTTTCTGTAATGTTTTTCTTTAGTAGACACAGAATTTCAGAGAGCCATCATAAGTTCCTAGACTCCCATGACAAATAAGAAGCAATTGGGTGTAAGCACAACATCATAAAATCAGTGACTCCAACTCTGACTTAACCCATAGAAGGAGATGAAGTGCCTGGAAGCACATATCATTTTTTTTTATTCTGCTGTAGTCATTTTTATGTGTGTGTGTGTGTTTCTGTGTTTTTCTAAATGAATATTTTCTGTTCTATCTCTTACTGCCTTTATTGTGAGTTCTAGCATTATTTATCTATTATCGAAGCCATGGGTTTACAGACTTTAATCAGGCAGGAGAGAAGGAAATGATATTAACACAAAAGTTCCTGGGTCTGGGGAGAAATCTGTCATTGAAGTGCTTGACTTGCAACTATGAGGATCACAGTTCAAACCCAGAGCCCATATTTAAAAGAAAGAGGTATGGTAGGACATGTTTGTGAACCTATCTTTGGGATGCAGAGACAGCTGAATCCATGGGGTTCATCAGCCTGCCAGCCTAAGTTACTTGGTCAGGTCCAAAAAGGATCTGTCTCAAAAAAGAAAGTGGGCTATGCCTAATAATAGAAGACTTTGGCCTCTAACCTCCACGCACATGTCCACACATGTACATGCAACTTCACACACACATAGCAAAATACATACACACATTAAAAAGTACCCTAAATTGTCAAGATTCTCCTTTCTGCTACTCTAATTAGAGGACATTAACTCATTTTAGTTTTATTTTTGTGTTCATAGCACACATACACATTTTGATTTGTATATACAAAATTATAGAATACAGTAACATATACATATATACATATACTTTTTTCTCAGACAACTAAGCATTAAAAGCATCAAGGAAGACACTAGGATTTTCCTACATCGAATTCAGTATGTGTTCTTGCCAGATTTAGGCCTGAGTAGTTTTGGATGCAATGAAGTCTCAGTTCAATAATCTTTTACTATTTAATGTATTCAACTTTTGGGCAAATACATAATACATCCTATTCTTTTATTTCCTTCCTGAGTTTGACTTTTCTCTCTCAATTCCACAATAAGCACTTTACGTTAAGCCACTTATATGTTTATAGTATTGTAGAAACCTGTAAGTAAGGATACTGTGATCAAGCAGTTAATGAATATATGACTTGAAATACAAGAAGAAAATGAGGGTCAGTGAACAGAGGGAAGCAGAGTGGGGTGAAATTAAAGATGCTTCTCATTCATGGCATAAAGCACCTCTACTATGACAGAAACTTCAAAAGACTCGGATGTCTACTAATGCTTTTTGCAAGAATGAAGTTTCTCAAGTCATCATCAAAGGCACATGATAGAACACTTGATGTGCTCCTGAATAGATGTTCGATTCTTAAAATTACTGTGACTCTCTTTTATCCATTAACTCCATTGTGGCGATTCCATTGATTTAAACAGCTGCCATTACAGAACGGAGCTCCGGTCTATTGTCTCTTTGTATCCTTTGTTCAGCAGTCATATTTGTCAATCATTACATTAATCATACAAACAATAGAAGATGTGATAAAGAAAATTTCACCAGATTCTCAGCATTTGGGGACAAATGGAAGGAGAAATACTAAGAAATGAAATCCTACACGGAAAACAAAAGGATAGAAAATTCAGAGGCAAACTCAAGCTGTTTTGAAACGAACTGTTCATTAGCTACAAAGGAGTCATGGTCTAAAATCTTGAAAGTTTTACAGTAACAGCAACAAAAGTCAAAATACACAAAGAACGCTAGAACAAAGCAACTATCACTAGGGTCTGGCAGTGTAAGGCATGGCTAAGAATCTCACTGCAGCCTGTGTCCACTGTTAGCTAAGGGTTGGCTTTCCCTTTCCCCACCCAGATCTATCTTCTGCCATTTCCCACCCTGCATGCTGTGGGCCTCCATTTCCCTGGGTGATGTCTGGTTGTGTCTTCCCACAGAAGCTTGTGAGATCACAGCACAGAGGAAGGAACAGTGGCCTCCTTTCCTCCTCAGCTCTATCTGCAGGGCGGTGGCGCTGGTCCTGTGACCACAAGGGAAAGGTCCTCACTGCACCCTGGAGCACTGGTTTCTCATGACTTTCCAAACTTCGCAGCGATAATGATAATTGGTTCCCATTGTTGCGAACCTCTGAATTTTTAATAATTGTCTTAACCCTTCCCACAATTTAGTAAGTTACCCCTGAATTACAGCTTCTCACTTTGTACCCCTCGAAGTGGATTTCATTCCCTATCAGGAGCCTGGTTTATATAAGAGCTGTTTGCTATATCCATTAGTGAGGAATCCAGTTTTGCTTTCTACTGAAAGAAAAAAAAGAATGAATGTAATTTTGCATGTATCCAGGTACATTTAGGTGTAGTCTACCTGAAGGAACATAGACTGGATCACATTAAAGACAATAAAGCCAAGCTGATGGAAAATAGCGTGTACCAAGATGTATTTACTCAGTACCAAAAGATTTTGATTTTGTAGCTTTGAATCCATTGGAGTCTCAGATTCTCAGCAGTAATAAGAATGAAGTAGCTGCTGAGAATATTAAAGTTTTGAAAATCTTCAGCTTCTGGAAACATTTTCCACTTATTCTTGTCAGTTTTGACTATAACCTTCTCCCAGTGGGCCCCTCGGTATCATATATCTGACCTCATTGGTTCACAATCAACTTTCAAACATTTGAGTCTAGCTATTATTATCTCATTGAATTTTACCTTTTTCAACTAACCAAACTCTTCCATGTCTGATCAGACAGCTTATATAAGGTTTATTTTTCCCATTTCTTCTCTACCATTTGAAATTTTCCTGTCATGGGAACTTTCTAGTTTACAATACTCATAAACAGACTTATCTCGGACTTCCCAACTTGGACTGAATCCTTCTCTCTGATATGCCAATTCGTGCACCAATTCCATTCACCTCACATACTGGAGCAATCAGGCTACACCTGACAGCTACAAATCAAACCTTTCCTAATCTGACAAGAGTTTATCTAGCTTTGAATCCTCCTTCATTCAATAAGACCCAAATTATACGCAGATCTATATGGAAATCAGAGGGAAGTGGTATGTCTTCTGCATTTTTATTTTGGCTTTTCTTCAATGGGAGATACTTATTCCAACTAATTTATCTATCACTAATCTTGTCTCTCAGCCAGCGGTCATTTGTGGTTTCAGACATGGGCTTCCCACCTTTTCTGATCTCTGATTCCAACTATCTTCTAATGTATGGGTCATTTAATAGATTCAGCTATGGTAAATTTTACAGACTAGAGAGCCACTGTTCTTACTATAGCCGATCAATCTGATAATACCTGTATGAATAACTGTGCTCTAGTAAATGAAGCCTTGGATGAATGTGTCTTGATGAAACAAAGTATTAATTCAGGGAGCCATTCAAAAATATTTTCAGAGTTCTAAACTGCAAGGCCTCTTCTCGAGCTGGACATGTAAGAAAATGAGAACTTTCCTGGTCTGGTTGAGGGGCTCTGTTTTTTCAGCTAAGATACTCTGTCTTATTTTAATGACAACATTTTCAACATAAATGCAAAACTATTCCTACAAACTCTCGAGAGTCTCTATCATCAAAAGCAGAAGAAAGGTAAGATGGATTGCAGGTGACAACAGTGTAGCACTTAAGAAACCGTAAGAATTGTGAGTAAGCTTCAAGACATGACCTGTTGAGGGGCGGCCTCCTGTCCATTCACACAGCTGTTTGCTTTGCTGACATCTGTGGAGCCCTAAGCACCAACAAGGCCCTCCTCATCTACTCCTGTTCACACTGAATAGTTTATTGAAGCCTGGCAGCTCACAGTGGCTACAACTGAAATGAACATCCTGATACTGTCAATGAATCCCTGAACACAGGCTTGGTGTCAGCCCCAGCCCTCTCTCTGTCTCTGTTATGTGTATGGACTTGAGGGGTTCCTATCATGTTCTAGGTCTTTCACTCCTTTTCTGTCAGGGAGAGGCTAACACTTGATACCTTCAGGCTCTTTATAACTCTAATTTTTTTTGATTATCCCCTTTTGCTTACAAATCTGGTGGAGGCAAGAGAAGGAGTCAGCTGGCCCATTTGCAAAGAGAGTTGAAGCCTGGCATAGGAATTCGGGACTGTATGTGGGAAGATGTGATTATAGTACGATCATTATGATTCATCAAGAGAATAAATTCCCTTGTTGGTTACACATACACTCTCCCCACCCCTTCCCACTCACAACTTCTACTTCCTGGTTTAGGAACAGTCTAAAAGTAGTGGAAGGTTGTGGGTGGAGTGGGTAGAAGGGAGGGAAGTGCTCTCTATTTGGAAGAGACGTTCTGGAAGCTCTTTCTTCTGCTCATGTGTACCACCCACGGAGCTTTTATTCTTCCTTACAG